CCATGACTCTGCTCTCTCTTGGTTCTCCTCTTACCTTTCTCAGCACACTTTCAGTGTCACATACAACTCCTCCTCCTCCGCTCCCTCTTTCTGTTGGGGTATCCCAAGGTTCTGTCCTTGGGCCCCTCCTTTTCACTCTCTATACCTCCTCCCTGGGCCAACTGATTCCAATGCCACCTCTATGCTGATGACACCCAGATCTATCTCTCCACTTCCCAGCTCACCCCCTCACGTATCACAAATCTACTAAGCGACATATCAGCGTGGATGTCACATCACTACCTTAAACTCAATCTTTCAAAAACTGAGCTTGTAATATTTCCTCCTCTCCGATCACCCACTCATGACTTTACCATTAAGATCAACAGCACAACCATTGGTCCTTCCCCTGCTAGGCGTAATCCTAGACTCTGACCTCTCCTTTGGGCCCCACATCCACTCACTGGCTAAATCCTGCCGCCTCAACCTCCGAAACATTTCCAAAATCCGCCCCTTCCTAACCAATGACACCACAAAACAACTTATCCACTCCTTGGTTATATCCCGCCTCGATTACTGCAACTCCCTCCTCACTGGCCTACCGTTACACAGGCTATCCCCCCTTCAGTCTATTATGAATGCTGCTGCTAGACTCATACACCTTACCAACCGATCAGCGACTGCTGCCCCTCTCTGCCAATCCCTCCGCTGGCTTTCACTAACCCAACGTATAAAATTCAAAATACTACCCACAGCTTACAAAGCCATCCACAACACTGCCCCTAGCTACATCACCAACCTCATCCACAGATACCGCCCAAATCGCCCACTCCGCTCCTCCCATGATATCCTCCTCTCTAGCTCCCTCATCACCTCCTCCCACGCTCGCCTCCAGGACTTCTCCAGAGCCTCTCCCATCCTCTGGAACTTCCTACCACAGCATGTCCGGTCAGTCCCCACCCTGTCTGCCTTTAGGCGATCTTTGAAAACTCACTTCTTCAGGGAAGCCTACCACACCTCCACCTAAGAACTGTACTTGAATCACCTCCGCCAGATCATCCCCCGCAGCTATCACCTTTTGTATCACCTCCCCCTTCCTTTAGATTGTAAGCTCCACGAGCAGGGCCCTCCTATTCCTTCTGTACTAAAATGTATTGTAATTGTACGGTCTCCCTTATATTGTAAAGCACTGCGCAAACTGTTGGCACTATATAAATCCTGTATAATAATAAATATATAAATGCTTGAGGGTTCTAAGTAACAAAACATACTGATTTTTAAATGTAAACAAAGCGCCGGAAAAGGCCTGGTCTCTTTGTGAATTAAGCCCTATAATCCAGGTTTTATGAATATTAAGCCTGTGTATGCTAAGATATGGAATTTATAGGTAAGGATTTACAGGTCTAGGATAATAAGGATTTGTACCTAATCTACAGTTCCATGTTAGCTAGTGCTTCCCTCCCACCCCACAATGTGAACAGGCCTTCAACCACATTATGTTCAAAGCAGAACTAGTGGTTTGCACTTGTCCTGCATTGTACATAATACTGGTGCAATCAAAGATGAAGAGGTGCTTTGCGGGGACTAGTCATCACTTCCAGAACCAGTGGGGGAAAAGCCTGTGGTACCATAGTGTAAAGTAAATATTCTTCTGAATGAATTTAACCACAATGCCTATAGCTATGGAGATGAGGGAGGGCTTGTTTTAAAGTGTTTTTTTTTCTCCTTCATTGAGGGGCATGGGATTGAGAGACATTTAGATTATGCTGCCACCTACAGGAGGATTTAAATACTGGATACAAGGAAATAATGGCCAGCCAGGTGACATCTTTTCACTACTGAAAACTAACAATTTTTACAAGCCATTTTTTTGTTTTTCACAAAATTACTTTTTTATTCAAGGAAAAATTTGCTACATGCTGCTTAAGCTAGTCTCTTTATGCAGCTATTTGGAGCAGTGTGTCCTCAGCAATAGCTTTGGAGGCTGAACCCTGACCCCACTGGACTGGATGATGGTGGGGCTTGACTGAAATTTGACCATTGAACACTGGGCTCCGCACTGTGGAGCTTCTCAGCCCCTTGTTTACTATGTTAATTAGCAGCACAGCATGTTACAATTCCAGAGCTGTGGGACAGTCTCTGGTTTGACCCTGTCACCAAAGTAATCATTTAGGAATAGGCAGTGTGGGCTAAGCATCAGAGGATACTGCTTTATTTGCACCATTACTATTAGTTTTTTTTTTTTTTAGTTTCCATGGAAAGGGTTTAAAACACTCAAGAACTGAGTGTTGCGTCACTAGGTAAACTGTCACATGCTCTTACTTTGAGCCCAGAGTATGGTAACACTTCCCCACCACTGCTCCTAATTGCAAGAGACATGCATTTCCACCTTGGATAGTCCCTGCTACCATCTACATCGATCTGGTCACTTCTGAGCATTTGAACAGCTCCTGTTCTTTTACAGGAGGTTTGTGAGTACTTAGGTTTTACCTGGTATTCTGAGTGAATTTTTCCCTGCCAAGCAATGCAACATGTCAGACCCCAGACAGAAGTGGAGCAGTCCTGCTTTATCTTTCAACTCAAAAGTCTTCCTTAGCTCCAGCTGGTGTGTTCCCCTCCTCGCTCTTATCTTCAGAGGACTTTACTTCAGTTATGTAAGATTTCACAGGTTCAACTGCAACCTTGATTGCTGACTCTAATAGCAGAAGATATTAGCATACCTTTCCCTCCAGAATAGAGATCAGATCTGCCTACAGCCTTAGTGGCCTGCATAAACTCCATCTGACAAAGAATTTAAAAAATCCTTCCTGAATGATATTGTCTCTGGGGAGTTGCAGGCACTTTCCGGAGCTCCCAGGCTTAGAGAGATCATTTTGGCTCTTATTGATGCAGGGCATGGTGAAATGGAAGAGCATCCTGTAGCTTCTACTAGTGTTGTTACCAGTTTTGGATCTCTTAGAGAGCCTAAGACTTCAAGAGCTTCCTTCTCCAAGCCACCCTGTATGGAGACTGGAAAACGTCTGATAATGGAGACTGGGAAACGTATGCTAAACTATTCACACCTCCAAAACATTTTGCAGTCATTATCCAGTAAGAGAGCTGACAGCCTGCTGGAAGCAGTGCTGTAGTGAAAGGGTTAAACTCTCCATTTCCAGACTCTGACTCTTTTTTGCAAGAGTCAACTGAAAATCATTTTTGCATGAGAGTCATAGGGCAGATTTTAAACTACTTCAAGGCAGTCCTGTTTGCCTAGTTCCACGCCAGACCTTACAACTCAACATCCTGTCACTGTGGGACAAATCAGTTCAGTCTCTAATTTGCCTCTTCACTGAAGACCAGATTATCTCTGGCTTTATGTCTCACAAATTTAAAGCTGGAGCTGGGAAATCCTTTCATCTTATCTCTTTAAGGATCTTGACAATGGATGCCAGCCTGGCAAGCAGTCCTAGACACTTTGTCAGTGCAGGGGAGTTGGACACCAGTGAAGCACCATACAGCCTTAGCTTTTTCTCCCCTGCCACACCTCACATTTTGCTATGAGATCTGAATTTGATTCTCCTGGAAATTGTTGCCATCACTTGAGGCAAGTTCCTTGTCTTGTTAAAAAAAAAAAAAAATTTCTGGTCTTATCAAAAGACAAGGTATAATTGAGGCCTAGAGCTGCTTTCCTTCCTAAGGTGGTTTCAGCTTTTCCCCTCAACCATGACATAGTTCTTCCATCCCTCTGCCCAGCTCTAGAACATCAGACTTTACTTCATTGTCTGGATACAGTTTGTACTATGCAAGTCTGCCTCACAACCACTGATTGCATTAGGAAGACAGACTCTTTTGCCATCCCAGCAAAGGGGAACCAGCCCTTCACTTCACCATTTCTCAGTTACTCAGATTATAGTTCAAAGCTATAGTCTCAAGGGTTCCATCCTTTCCTGTCAAGGCACACTGTACTAGATCAGTGAGTGCTTCTTGGGCTTTCAGGCATGCAGCAACGGCTTCCCATATTTGCAAGACTGCTACTTGGTTTTCTGTTCACGTTCCCCAAGTTCTACCAGATGGATGCTTGGGCCTCAACCTTGTTACAAATTGAAGGCATTTTGGAACTGAGAAGAGTAATACTACCCCTTGTATACCTGAAAGCATACTTTTTTTAGCACCTAACGTTTGGTTTTTTTTATGCTATTGTGTGCTAGCCCAAGATTCAGAACAGGGGCAGGAGGCTGAAAATAAAGGCCATCAGCTCAGATTGAAGAATGGTGGTCCAACACACTCCCATCATAATCTCAACTAATGCTCTCCAATCAGCAAAGCTTAACACTCCCCAAGGAATAAACACATATCCAAGAATTACAACCATGTAATGATCATATGTCAGGAAAATATTTTATACTCTCTTCAACAAACCTCCCACGATAGTTGTGATGTTGAAATTAGTTTAATTGTTGAGGGTTTTTTTTTTCCTATGTTTAAGGCAGGTAATAAAAATCAAAGTGTAAATAAGTAACAACTCTGCTAATAACACTTTATTCCCAGTACAAAACATTGGGCGTCTACAGATACCAGCCTGTAAACTGTGAGCTTTGATTTGTAAAATACATTATGAATTACCAAATTATATTATTCATAGGAAAAAATATATACACATCTTTTTTAAAATAGTCTATAATTTTTTCAGAAGGCAAAAATTACAAATTGTTTCTAGCCAGTGTAAGCAAATAGACTGGCAATCCCATAAAAGGATCTGGCACCTAATACAATATTGTATATTTTAGAAGATGCAACCTCAGAGTCATAGTTCTGTTAAAGCCCATTGACACCTACAGGTGTTTCAGCGATAAGAAACTCTGTTGTAACTAACCGGATGATTGCTAAATTCAGAGCCGGTAAATGTGCCAGTATAGGAAAACATGCCAACTGCTATAATGTGAACATCCTAATCCTTATTCTTTATTATTTATCCAAAAATTCCAGTTTTAATTACAAAACCAATCTCAGTTTTGATGGACTGTATAGAAATATAATAGCACTTAAAAGAGAATCTCTAGGACAATCTTGAGAATCCCAATGAGAATAGTCTGTAGCACAGATTCTTCTTCACGAGTTGCTTCAAATTGAGGTTGCCGCTGCTTTCTGTGACTTTCCTCCATCTGTTCTGGATCATAGGATGCTTCAGCAAAAGGGTCTTCTCGTATTGTTTGATCATAGTATACTTTAATTTCAAATTCACTCTCTATATAAGAAGGATGGCCATAGATTCCAATCCCCACAGGGCGCTTGAATTGGTCTGGCACAACTATAATATCCAGGCCACACGTCATGGACTGTAGATCATACTCATCAAAACTGGGGTTGAGGGTAGCATCAGAGACATACATATCTGCATCACCTCTCAAGCTCTGCATCTCGAGTATAATCATCCCTTCATGGTTAAGTCTCAGATAGCTGTAATTTCCTGCCCCTACTTGTCCCTGAACAACATGTAAGAGCATCCATTCTTCTGGAATTTCTTCACTACTGAAGCACTCTATGATGAATAAAGAGTACAAGGCAAAAAGTGTCAAAATGCTCTTTTTGTGGTATGACACCATCTCTCTAAGCAACTGAATGTGAACATCCTATTGGAGAAAAAAAACAAACAAACATTATAACTTACAATCAGCACCTTAATGATATGCAATATTAAAAAAAAAAAAAAAAAAAAAAAAAAAAAAGGGAGGCTATGGGTATATGAGTGATCAAAGTAAATCCAAATACAGGGTTTCAAATGCTGATGCTAACTGCGCCTCTGGCATCAATACTTGAGTCACTAAACTGAAACAAGATTGCTGATCAAAAAAAACCACAAACTAGAAATCCTTATCTGCATACATGTTCTAGGTCAGTAATGGATTCCAGGTCAGGCGCATTCAATAAAAATAAGAAAAAAAAGGCACAAAAATCAGTTGTTAACAAAAGCAACCATACTAGTTTTTCATTTTAAAATAATCTTAATAAAACTGGCTTTAATAATCATTATGCTGTAAGGCTGACTTCTACTTTTTAAATCAGTGACTTGGGACAAGTATGCAGCTCAAAAATTCCTTATTTGTAGACATTTACTTGAAACCATAGACAAATGTGGTTTCAAGTATTGCCTACATATATTTCACATATTGCAGCATATAAACCAGCATTTTCAAGGGCAGAGGTCAGAAATGGCCACCTTTCATGCCAAGTGGCCTTTAACCCTTTTGCTGTCAGAACAGTTTTTGCACAAATGTTTAATAATTTAAGCCCTGAAAATTGCATGAAACCCCAAAATATTATATAATTTCTGAAAGCAGACACCCTAGAGATTAAAATGGTGTAATATAAAAAATTAGGAATTACCACCATTAGTGAAAAGGTCTAGGAAACGCAAAATTTCAGCTAAACAAAAAGCACCAAAACTGGTTTTAGGGCATAAAATGCATTTACCCTGTTTTGGTAAAATGTAGAAGATGAGGGTTGTGTCGAGTAATTAGATTCCCAACATGTCAAACCATAAAACTGTGCACTTGTGAAATGGCGACAAACCTCAGTACCCTATATTTTCCATAGGCAACGTTTTGAAAGCCCCTACAGGTCGTCCGTTTAGTGTTACACAGGAGCTTTTGTGCTCCAATTATTGCTCTCACTCTGGTTTTCATGGCGATATACAATGTGTATAGCAATTGATGTCTTTGTGCTTAGGCACCCCTGGTAATGTGCGCATCAACATTCATACATGTGGGGGGCATGTTATATGCTTGGGTGTAATTAAAATGTTTTGCAAATTTTCTAATATATATCTTTTTTATTTTACTACACTTTTATTCCATCCACTATGTAATGAATTTTTGGCGACAGGTCCTCTTTAATGAGACAACATGGGTCTAAAAGTTCACAGATGTCTCACCTGCCCTGCAATGAATCGAATGCAGTGCAGATTGCACTCTATTAGATTATTTCCCAAACAGTATGGCAGGGGAAAGTGAAAGGGGGACACAGAACAGACGTCATACACGTCGCTTCCGGATCAGCAAGAGGAAGGGAACCCAAGTCTTTGCGGCTCCCTCCCCTCTACCCAGTGGCACCTGACATACCGGTCTCAGACCAGCAGAAGGGCAAGCAGAGCCTGGGATACCTGGAAAGGGTGGCTGTTACTGGGCAGTATGGAAATGATTGGGTGGCTGTGCAGCGCCTGGACCGTTTCCATCTGACAGCCAGCAAACTGTAGCCACCAGGAGTGTGTGCAAAACCCCTGCTGTCAGCTCTGCACATTGTATGGACCTGGCAGTAAATAGGTTAGGTCTATTAGTGGCAAAGAGATTTAAAGCCTGTCTCTGGGAAAAGGAAAAATGATCCCTTGCAGTGGAGCTGCTCTCGCATTACATAGCTTAAAATAGAACTATAGGCAAAAACTTTTTTTTTTTTTTTTTTTTTTTTTTTTAATTTTGGATGTAGAGTAAGGGAGGATTAAAGCCCATCAGTTTTTTTCTGCAATTTTCCATCGTGGAGATTTCCCTTCACTTTTTGTCTCATAGCCAAAACAGAGAAGAAACCCCAGCAAATTAAGGGAATTCCTTGGGGACCCCCAGGTCACCAGAACTAGTGTCCACATTGGAAGATTTTCCATGTAATACTTTTCTAGTAACGACCCAAAATTTGGGATGTTTTTACTTTCACTTTCAATGAAAATGGTAAATAGGACAAATAGAGAGTGTGAATCTCTTTAACGGGGACACAGACAGCAATAAAAACTGACGGGTTCTAATCCCTCTACACTCAAAAGGCCAAAAAAAAAAAAAAAAAAAATATTCTCTTTTTATTGTTTGATATACTCAAAAGCAAAAAGTGTGGAACTTTACTGGTGCCGGGTGGGACAGACATGTAAATATAAAAATGTATTCCAAATTTCATTAAAATCACAACATTAAAAACAATTCAGGGCCATAGCCCTTGCAGAGCAGATATATATCCAGAGAAGAACTGCCAAACTGAAAAAAAAAAAAAAAAAACCCCCACATACAACATAATCTTAGATTGTAAGCCCCAATGAGCAGGGCCCTCAATCCCTACTGTATTAAATTAAACTGTCTTCCCTTATGTTGCATAAACTGTTGGTGCTTTATAAATCCTGTATAACCGCTTGCCGCCCACCCGCAACGTACTGCGAATGTGCGGCAGCTACATGCAAAGCGATGTGCAGGTACGTCACTCTGGCTGTACTAACACAGGGGTGCACTGCGCGCCCGAGTGGCTGTGCAGCGCTCCCCACCCGCGACACAGCAGAATGAAGATCCTAGTGAATGGGACCCAGTGATTATGTGATTACTATGCGATCACATGATCACAATTTTAGCAAAGTTGTTATGAATCAATCTAATTCATACCAACTCTGCTTGTCTTCCTGATGAGCTGTGACTGGCCCACAGCTCTCACATGGTACGTGGGGCCAATCACAGCACCTTGTATCATGTAACCAGCTATAGCCAATCACAGATCACTATTATTTTGAACGGTCATGAACTTAACCCATTCATGACAGTTCAAAGCAAGCTTTGCATTGCAGGAGAAATAATCTTTATTGCTCCTGCAAAGCGTAAAAAAAAAAAAACCCTGATCACTGTCCCGTAGTACAATGTTACTAAGATAACATTGTACTACTCTGATAAAAGTATTTAAAAAAAAAATTGGAAGGCCTAACCCTCAACATGGGCATTACAAAAAACAAAGAATTGCGGTCATATTGGTCCACAGACCCAATTCATCATATGCCCATGTTCTCTGCTGTTACATACATGCCCAACAAAGACCAGCAACACAGTGGTACATCACTGGACTTTGAGTGGTTACTCCAGGATGATAAAACAGCATGAGCAAGTGAATGCTGAAACTCCTGCGCTGGACGATGAGCTCCACAATGTCAGTAACCCCCCATGGAGTACTTTTTGGGAATGCAAGCCTTGCTGCCCTCAACGGACCAGGGAAATCCAAAGAAGCTGTGTGCAAAGAAACAAACAAACAAACAGAGGGCACACGGGCCTAGTGCATTACCTTCTAAAAATTAGATTTATTGAATAAAAAAAATAGTATACTCACAAAAGAATAAAATCAAAAGGCACATCACAAAAAAGACAGCATGGTCCTAATCTCCCTAGATGGTGGCTGTTGGGAGACTGTAGGCCTTTTTTGACTGTTTCAAGGCAGAACCTCTTTCTCAGAGCTCCAGAAAGTGTATTTCCCAAAAAATTTGCATCTGAAAAAAATTGCTGCACAAATACTAGGGCCATTGCTTTAAAAAAAAAAATTTAATATTTGTGGGTTCAAAATAATTTTATATTAAAAAAATATAAAAATTTCATGTAAATTTCAAAAAAAAAAAAAAAAAAGTGTCAGAAAAGGTTTGTTCTTCAAAATGGTTAGAAGAGTGGGTGATGTGTGGCATAAGCTTCTAATATTGGCCCTGAAATCCCAGGATAGAATAAGCCCCCCCCAACAAGTGACCCCTTTTTGGAAAGCAGGCACTCTCAAGGTATTTGCAATGTGTTTGAAAATGAAAGTGTATTTTGTCCTCTTATTCTTTTTCAAAACACAAAATGATATCTGAAAAATGCTCACCATGCCTCTTATCAAATTCCTTGGGGTGGCTACGTTCCAAAAAGGGGTCATCTGGGTGGGGGGTGGGGGTTTACTATACTGATATTTTAGGGCCTCTGAAACTGTGATAAGTAGTGAGGAAATATGTCCTTTCAAAACCGGAAGGTGGCCATGGGGGCCTGTATGTGGCTAGGGTGCCAAAAAGTCTCTCACATGTGGTATCCCCAAACTCGGGAGAGAATACAGCCATGGCTTACGTAAGCAATATATCATTCGGATGACAACTTTGTGTGGGGGGGAAAAAAAAAAAAAAAAAAAAAAAAAACACACACCTTCCATAGACTCAACATGCCTCTCAGAAAATTCCTTGGGGTGTCTACTTTCCAAAAAGGACATTTCAGGGGGTTTTGTACCGCCCTGGCACTTTAGGACCTCAAGAAATGTGATAGACAGTCAGAAAGTAAAAGCTGTGTAAATTCCAGCATATATACACACCATAGTTTGTAGACCAACTTTCACACAAACCAATATACACGTATTGGGATTTTTTTTTTTTTAACCAAAGACATGTAGCAGAATAAATTTTGGCCTAAATTTATGACTGAGTTTATTGGATATTTTGGTTTTTATTTTTACAACCAAAAGCAGAAAAATCTTTTTTTCCCCAAAATATTAAGTATTTTTTCGTTTAGATCACAAAAAATTAAAAACCGAGTGGTGATCAAAAAACACACAGTGGTGATCACAACACACACACAACACACACACACACACACACACACACACACACACACACACACACACACACACACACACACACACACCAAAAAAATTAAAGGAATCTTGGGCACCTGTGCATGGTAGCCAATCAGCTTCTAACCTCAGCATGTTCAGTTAAGCTTCAGCAATAAAACCTGGAAGCTGATTGGTTTTTATGCAGAAGTGGACAAGATTCTGAGTCAACCAGGTTTAGTAAATAAACCCCCAT